TCAACTCCTACTCCCGTTCTAAGTGGTGTACCCCAGGGCTCCTTCTTAGGGCCGTTGCTATTCCTGGTTTACATTAACGACTGCGTCGACGACCTGGGATGCAGCGCCATCATGTTTGCTGACGATGTTAAGCTGTGGAGTCCCATCAGATCTGATGCAGACAGGTATGCGCTTCAAGACAGTCTCAACCGCCTAAACAGTTGGTCAGCTCGCTGGCTCCTCAATTTTAATGTGGACAAATGTGTAGTCCTGAGACTCCGCACCAGACAGACCAGTAAGGAGGACGATTCCTTTCAATATGTCCTTGGTGGTCAGTCCCTTTCAAATGTTGCGGAACAGAAAGACCTGGGAGTCCTAATGACCTCCTCGCTGAAACCATCTTCACAGTGTCAAAAGGCAGCCAAAAGTGCGATAAGGGTGTTATTTGCGCTGAGGCGAGGATTTGTGCAGATCGACAAGGAGCTGTTCGGAAAGACCTATGGGGCATTCGTCCGGTCTCACTTAGAGTATGCAGTCCAGGCCTGGCGACCGTGGTTAAAGAAAGATTATCAACGACTGGAAAGACTACAGGCGATGGCTACGAAGATGGTCAAGAATCTTCATCATTTGCCTTACGAAACCAGGCTGACTGAACTAAATCTGTTTCCTCTAAATTACAGGCAACTGCGCGGCGATCTCATTCAAACCTACAGGATTGTCAGAGGTCGTGAGTGTGCCCTAGATTTTGATGAATTCTTTGAATTGGCCCGGACTGACAGTCTGCGTGGTCATCCGTTCAAACTGCAAAGGAAGCGGGCTCACTCGGACGTCCGACTGAACGCCTTCTCACACGGGGTCATCGGGGCATGGAATGGACTCCCTGATGCCGTCGTTCTTTCCGAAAGTGTTAAATCCTTTAAGTGCAGACTAGACGCTCACTTGTTGAGAACCTACTGTACATACAATCATGATTGTTTTAGCGGCGACAATTTGCGCCTGGCTCACACTTACCGCTAACTTCTTAACTTTTCGCATTTGCTGATGTAATTGATGACTTTATATCTGTTTACCGATATGAATAGGGTGCTCAAGGGCGAAAGCCTCATTCCCTTAATAAACTGACTTAAACTGACTTAAATGTCAGCCATCAAACATTTAGCACACCAAGTGCGACGATCTCGGATGAAGGGGCGACGTGAATGTTCATAAGTATGCGGTAGCATGGCGACTGCATCCTATAAATGCTGCAGCCCCTTGTGCGTGAATCCCCCCTATCTGCCGTTATCTGTGATAATGGATTCGAGCAGGAATCCGAAACGTCAGGCTAATAAAGCTCTTGTCCCAGCGATTGTGTCTCCTTCTTCAATATTATGAGTATATTATTTCAAATTATTCCAAATTTCTTATTTTGGAGAAGGAGGGATAAATCACGGCACAAGAGGGTTCCTTCGTTACTTCTACGGGCAACCATTACGCAATCTGAACTTGATTTTAGCCCAGGTTTCTTGTCCGAGTTATGTCGCAAGCATAAAAGCATTAGACATTGATACACTCGATAGTTCCATCAGTTTTCTGTCTTAGAATGGATAGCTCTTCTGCATTTTTTTCACCTTCTTTGAACAAAAGTGTTTAGGTATTACTCCTCGGAATTGTGATTATCTTGATCACTTTATCTTGCTTGTTACCACCGAGGCTTTTGACAGGCAGAAGAGAATTTTTAACTTCATTCTGGAAAATGTGCAAAGGACAGACAGCCCCTTGAAGTTGCTTTCCCATTAGCTTACTTTTACGTCTTTATCTTAAGGGCGGATGCACATGGTGGCTTTCATCAAGGAGCGAAGGTCCTCTCGTTTGATCACGTATTTTTGTCAATATAATTAGGCGCTGTTTCCTCGCTCAACGAACGCTCAGCTTAATATCTTAAGACACATAATTTTGTTATTAGTCCGGATACAACCTCAACGGAACTCTGAGTTTCTTATTCTTCGGCAAACAAAATGCCTTTCACGATTTCGACTCATCCGATATTTCTTTCCATGGCTGACCATCCATCCGTTGTTCTCCAATTTCCTCTTATTTAACCCAAACTAACACTCGACTTGATCACGCGGTCCCCGATTCAAGTGAAACTGACCATCTTGTAATTTATCCAAGAAGCGTTCATACTTGAAATATCAAATCAAATCTTATTAGACAGCTTCAGCTTAGAAGTAACTATCAACTTCTGGATTCAAAATCACCTTCCACGGCAGACAATAGTGGTCTCCTTAATCAGCTAAGTCAGGTTCATCTTTTTGTCTTGCCGGGTAAATTACCCCTGACTTAACGGAATGACGGAACGATATTTTAAGCAAATCTTTGCCTGCTTGTATACCAAATTCTCAAATTAATAAAAACGTCGAGTCTTTGAAATCACAAGCGTTTAAAATGAGTGCACCTTAGTAGATAAGCTGTTTTCCCAAATCAGCAGCACCCTGGTAGTTAATCCTAAACAATCAGTCCGTTAGCTAGTTAAAGTCGTCCGTCATATTATTGAAATATTCAACTACTCCTTACTCCAAACGGCTTACTTTTCCACCATAACAACTAATTTTTATAAACATTGCCGAGCTTAACAAATATTTTAGTAATACACTCCGCGTATTTCTCATTAACGCAAGATCAGTCGTTCAGAAATGACATATTTAAGAAAAGAAGCTTTAGATTTTGTACCACATGTTTGTGTATTACAGAATCTTGGGCTCACTCTCTTCATGGCGATTAGGTACATTCTAGCAATGATACCAGTTCATACTGAAAAGACGTGGCAATTTTTGGCTATTCTTTAGAATAGCCTCGTGTATATTTGACTTATGGTCCACGCATTTCATCTTCTTCTGCAAATATGTCCTCTAAAAGTTATTTTACCGCAAAATAAAAAGTGTTCGTTGATTGAGTATATAATGCTCCTTGTTCTTCTGACAACAAAATCAACCCTGTGAGCTTTTTGGAGGGTCGCAGAGACCCCATGGGGTCGCGGAGATTGAGATATGATCGTCGAAACAAGTGCTCTATTAGCATGAAGTTTTAGATACTCACTCCGATCCATCATCAGACAGAGTCAGATAAGGGCAGTAGATCGCCCAGGTGTTGCAGTAGTTATCGGATATAGTTGCTAGGTCGCTACAGGTCTATCATGACCGGCAGCTCCCGAATGCATCATAGCTCGACTGGTCAGGCCATCTGCACGTTCTCCTCGCGGCTACCTTCTTTGCCTAGACTAAGTCTCATTGCCGAGTATGGTGTGGGGAGTCCATTGCGCTTGTTGATTGACTGAGGGCCGCAAAACCATCACTCGAACAGTTCACAGGTCATGTTGTTGCCACCCCTAGCAAGAACTTCAGCATTGTCAAGCTTGAATGCGTAATTGGGTTCCGTCGAATAGGCCGCTAATGATGGATTCGAGTGAGCATCCGAAACGTTACTCTAATACAGCAATTGTTCCAGCGATCGTGTCTCCTTCTCCGCGACTATCTCCTTCGCTTCTATTATCTAACTCCATGTGGTGCAAAACCAGTCACAGGCAGGAGTTGACTGGCAGAATTATGTTAACTGTCGAAGACGCCAGACGTTAGTTACTATTGTGCACTTGTTCAACTGATATAAAATAGTCATTAGGTCACAAAAATCTATAATGCACTAGGTTTTGTCTTCACTAATGGCACGCACTCTTTATTCATGGACTTCTACCGTATCCCTTAATCAAGTTATCATCCACTGGTTAATTTTTGTCTTCTGATTTCGGTTCCTGTAGGGCCAGTGTAAAGCGCAACTAAATTAACTTTGCTAGTGTCAACAAGGACTTGTAAATGACTAACAAACAATCTAGCTTGACATAAAATATTTTCAACTACTGACTCGAGCCTTCTCTACGATTCCTCCCGATTCCTCTTCTTCCATTTTCTCTACCTTTTTTTCGAATTGACACCGCCTTCTGACGCGTTCCTCTCCACCCTTAAATTTGCTTTTAAATGTATTCAAGGACAAATCAACCATCTTAGTCAATCGCTCTCATTTGGAACTGACAATGCCCTCAGTTCTGTTATTGGACAGCTAAAAGATTTTTCCTCTCCACTGGACGCATCATGGTTTATATCATCAAATCACTGTCATTAAGATCAGTGTTCGCTTTGTTGTAGTAGTGTCCTTTGTGTGATGAATGTAAGCAATCGGCGGTAGACCTGAGGCGACACAGGAACATTATCGGAGCTATTGTCGGTAATATGCCCATTTGAAAGCAATTCCTTTGTACTGGACTTTTTTGTCTGCCAATAGCGCTAGTCAACGTTTGGACAGAACCTTAACACGTCGCGTTCTATTTAACTTTATCATTTGTTTTAGTCTTTTCACCGACCTTCTTTTGTTGGTTTTGCAGGTTGTTCGTGAAGGGTTCGGTGAAAGGCGCTGACAGCACATGAATCCCTGAAGAGCAGGCGCAGTCGGAGGACTGAGAGCTGATCGTTTTATATCATTTCTTTGCTGTTTCGATCACTCACTGACGGGTAGGTGGGCGTGACTCTCAGATCTGCCGAGCCATTTTGTGGGGCTGTTTAGCGATCTCTCAACAAGATTTTTTCAGCGTCAAAGGCCTGACAGTAAGGCTGACTTACTCCCACAGTCCGTGCTTATTTAGCAAATGGGACCATAAGCCGACACGAGCCCGCTAATCCGAGCTGCTAATGCGGGTCTAAACAGAAACCTTAAAAATTTTATTAGGGTTGTCGATACACCGGCCGTTATCCGGAGCGTTTTAGAGCTCGCCAAATATCATTTGTTGGCGCGATAGTTGTAATGTAGGCGGGTATCCGAGTTTTCGCCTCAGTTCAGTTAAGCGTCCAGCATGTGTTACTTGCCAGCTTTTATACACACTAAACATGCACGTAGTTAGAAAACTAAAAATGTCAATTTTTACTTAGATTACAATAGATTTCTCAGCGTAAAATGTTTACATGGCGCCATATTTCATTTTTAGCAACTGAACAATGCTAGAATCAAAGGTGGTCCAACCGCGACAATCTTACTCATGCGCTCTCATTGAATGCCTCACACCTCTCAGGTCTGCCTACGAAGTTATTCAGTAAATTTGAACGTGGTCATTCTACAAATTTTTGAGCTCATCCTCTTAACTATTTACAATTGCAGGCATCAGCATGAATGATGTCCTATTTATTCTAGAAAACGGGTTATTTTTGTTGGCTATAATACTACCTCATAGGTTCTAAATAAAACAATTTATTTACTTATAGATGTTCGTAATTTGCAAAAGTCTTCAGTTTCTTACGTCTCATTACGTTGCCGTCATTTTATCACCAGTTCCGATTTAAAGGTACCTCAGGATACATTCATTGGAACTTAAGACTGTAATCAGTCTTGGTATTCTGTGAAGGTAATTAATCTCAAACTCTTATTCTCTCCGTAGCCTCTGACCAGCTGTCCAACTAAAACGTCTGGGCTATGGGCCTCAACCCCCCACGTTTTTAGAGTTTCTTCTATTGCAGTACCATTCGATGTCTGGTTGATGCATAGAGGTCCTGAAGCTATTCACGGGAAATTTCACAATGTGTTTCCCCAAATATCATGTTGTATTTCTGTCTTCCTAAAGTTTACCTATATTGGTACCACCATATCAAAATTGCATTAATTGTCATAGTTCCGTCTCATTCCGCGTCCTTGTCAAGTGCTAGTTTTCGCGAATTTTCCCGTTTCGGCCTAAATCATGTGTTAGGAATTTGTCCACTTTCACATTTGCCTTTTTAAAAAAAGGGTCTGCGCCTTTTTCTCCGTCTATGCCCTCGGGCTGCTTGCATTATACGCAACTGCATGGTCAGAAAGGGAAACGAGCGGGGCTTCAAGAAATGATGACCGCGTGGAGGTTATTCGTAAGCAGTGGCTCTCCAACTTCTTGGTGAACGTGGCCGGATATGCTTTCATCTTGTTCCCTTTGTTATTGCTGAAATGGCTGGCCGAACCCCTCCTGGATTTGTGGCAATCAGACAAAAGTAAGTCTTTATTACGATACGAACATTCAGCTCGATTTTCAGCTTGAAAAAGTACTTTGGATCTTTCCCGTGTTCACGTGTTGGTTAAGTGCATAGGATCAAACCTCAAAGCATGTGCGTGCAATCCTTTGGCACCAAAATGCAAATGCAAATCGGTAGTCACAATCAAACGGCTATTTACGATTGTATTCTCCGCTTTTCTGTAATCCTTATACCAGCAGTTTAGTGAGGCCACTGACCGAGTTTGGTGTGCTTTGGGTAGACAAGATTGTCTGATTAATATGCGGACTGGTAGGAGAATTTGTTTCAACCCCAAGAGTCTATATACATCTCTTCTAAGTCTTTACAGATACAGAACGGTTATATCCTAGGTATGGTTGTAGGCTATGTCCACATTTATCCATAAAAAACAGTTTTTGATAACAGTGTTTTTGTGCATATTTACTTTTAATTGTTCATACTTTTTCAGCTGTGTAGTCTTTTGGAATTGGTAGCGAGAGAAAAGTCCTTCAAATGTTCAATCATTCCACGCTCGACATTGAAAATGTTGAGGTTCTTAAGACTTGTGACTAACCAACACTGAAAATAAAATAATATATTCAAACGTAACGTTAATGCGGTTTCTTTTAATACATGCTAGCACTAATAACAGTCATTTCCAAGGCCAATTAAAATAGAATGCACGCTTCCACTTATTTCCAACGTAAAATACCGCACAAAGGGCAGTCAATTTTAGAAGGCAGAACAAAACGAAGTTTCTACATTCTAAGTTGTTCGCCATTTGTTCGTCCTACCTATTAGTTTTTCACCCACCAGGCCGCTTTTCGTTTACTGGCATGTTTTAATCATTACTACATGTTACAAGGTTCGGCGTTTAGGGGCTCTTGTGTGTTATGGAATTATCCCATTTAGACAGCTTGGAACTGTTTGTGCGAATGGTGTCATGAGCATATTATTTGGGGGGATGTAGGGAACTTTATATAACGATCGTGGTATGCAATAACATGAACCAGTGGCTAAGACGAGCCCATGTTTCCTGGCCTTAGGTAAACGTTCGTAAGCCATTGCCTGCTCCAAACTCTACAGTTCCTTACAAGGTCTTCTGCTGTCTATACTGTCTTTGTCCCTCGGCAGCTTACAAATACTCCACTACGCCACCATCAATCAGAGCCGTACGTACTTAACGTGGACATTCTTTGGGTGTAGGCCCCTGAGGCTCTTTTGAACAGTCACCAAAATATGATATTGTTCCCCCCCCCAAGGTCGAAAATCCTTCACTAAGAGACTCATTCCACCGTTGATCGTGTAACTAAACACGAGTTCTGACAAGATTCCAATTTTCCTTTTAGTCAGCTATAAAGCAGTAAAGACGCTAAATTGCACTACAGAATCAAGCTTCTAAACTTGGTATCCGAATTTTTGACACAAAAGTTTCAATTTTTCCTTATGATACTTGCATTTGCGGATTTAGGCAACAGGAACAGCTTACGGTAGTAGTCGAACAGCCTCACTTTAGCGTTTAGAAACGTCCTCAGGGCAGCTGGTTAATACTCATCGCGGAATTTGGATTGGCACAACCATGACATAAAAATCACCGGGTGGTTCATCGCAGATGCCTGCAGGCTCCTGTATCCAAAATCATCGAATCCTTGTTCAAAATTTATTTTAGTATGATGGATTATAATCTGTGCTTGAATGCTAGTTAAACACACTAATCAAAATTGACTCGCCGTCCTTTAGAATGATCAAAGTTATTATCTACTAGAGTTTGTTTCTTGCTGATTTTGAAAAGCGAATCTCTTCTATGCGTCTGTTAGCCAGTAGGTTTTTAGCCCGACACAGCTTCTTTTTTCTGCTTTGTCTGCTCCTAGTCCGGCAAGTGTACGCACCATCTAGGTTTTAAACATTCTTCAACGACTGCACATTACATCCCTAGAACTGTTGCGCATGAAATGTATTTTACTAAATGTATAGCTAAATACTAGTCATATTCTCTTTTATAAGGCAGACTGACTCGCTGGGCCAGGCACTTCCTATACGTTTGTTTCTCAAAAAACCGAGAAAGTGATTGCGAACTGCCAATTTCAGCGGCTCCTCTTTCCGCTTCAAAGCATACCACCTCCCCGTGCTCAACTCGCTGCGTTCAAAAACTTGACCGATTCAATCAAAATCATCCTTGGTTCCTACTTGCCTCCTATGCTATCGGTCTAAACGTGGCTTACGTCGTGTGGGGAGTTGTTCAGGTTAGATGCCTTTGCTGTACCTGTTTCATTCCTCCGCCTTTATATGAGGGTGAGGAGGGGTGGTTGTCTGGGCCTCCATTAACAACCTAGGCGTTTACGCGCACCTTCAGATTGCACAGGAAAGTAAGGGCACGCTTTATAATAGCCCTTCAAATAAGAAGGCGGCTATCTGCTTCTGGAATTTGCTCCGAAGTCCGACGCGGCTGACAGAAATGCACCATGTGCGTCCCCGAATGTTTCTGTAGTGCCTTGTTCATCACCATGCTTTGAGAATTTTGAGATCCTTAGTCCTTCCCTCCTCCCTTAAATGAACCTGCCGTGACGTCATCTTCAACTGCTATACTTGAAGGAAGTGTATCTTTCGGCTTAGAAAATGTTTGTAATCATGAGACTTTTTAAAACCGTGAGATGTTCATTCATATCAGATCGTGTATATTTCTTTGTTGATGCTACTTAGTAAATACGTAAAATGGCCCCTGTTCAGTGCAAAGTTTTGAACCCTATATGACGAATTCTTAAAGCGGTAACCAAGTGTATGATTTTCCATACGCGGAAGCTATACAGCGTGTAGTTTGGGAACCCTGTGTTCAATCGCAACTGCAGGTCGGATTCAAAATTATTCGTAAATTGAAAACGCCTATTAAAACCGAAAGACTACCGTTTTTCAAGTATAGGATTTGAAAAAAGACGTACCTTACAGCAAAATCAGTACAAGAATATTTTCATGCATGTCTTCTATGAAATATGTCCGAACTTATCGGGACATCGTGCATCAATGGGAAATACTCATACTACCCAAGTAGTCACCTTTTACCGAGTATGGTTTTTGCTGCCGACCGGACATTAAACGCCGGCTTCCTGGAACGACTGAAATGTCTTGGGGTTAATTTGAACGGTAATCAATCTTACGGCCCCACCTAAGCTATCCTTCCTAACGGGAAACGCATTCCAGAACTTCCGTTGAAATTTCATGAGATATGCAAACCACCGTAACCATTATATGCATGATCTTGTCAGAATTATGCGTTTCGTTAATTTTGATGGGGAATAACTGTTTTCTCACCGTCCTTCTGGCCGTTTTCCTACAGGAACGAATCATGACACGGTCCTACGACGGCGTACGTTTCACAGAACCGCAGTTCCTCGTTCTCGGCAATCGCTTGGGGGCCCTAATGGTGTCGGGTTTGGGTCTCTTGCTGCTGGGTCGTTTTATCGAGCCGGCTCGGGGCACATGCGCCCTCCCTCCCCTTAGCGCCTACTCTTTGCCTGCTCTCACCAACATTATCAGCAGCTGGTGTCAGTACGAGGCCCTTCTCTTCATCAGCTTTCCATTGCAGGTACTGTCCATGTTCCTACCAGATACCGCACATCTGCTTCTATTTGTTGCCTGTGTTTTCAGAAACACGGGGATCTGCCGTGACCAGCACATATTTCAGACGTATTGCTCATAAGCGCAGAGTAGATGGTACCGCTCATTTCGGTCACTCAGCCGTACCTCAACCAAACACTCTGAGAAAGTGAGATTTCGGTCGAAGCCGGTTAGTTGTGAAGCATATGTGTCAAACGCTTTACCGTTTGAATTATGGACTCACTTCCCAACCCGTCACAGTCGAGAATATTCTAAGTCACACTGGAGTGGTCCTTATTCTACCATGTAATTAGAATATTTTTTGTCCGTCCGTATATGGTGTTGAATATCCTCGATCTCAGCCAGTAGGTTGGTGTCTGTCGTTCTACCGGTGGTTATTTCAAGTGCGGTGCTCTATGACTAACTGCCACGGGCTCAACTGCTTGGTATTCCTAGCCTGGAGTGTGGATGAGGCTAGCTGATGACTGTAGATAGGCCAGAAGTGGTTATTCCCATCTACTCTGTTATTGTCGATATAATTTGTTGAATCCTGGTTGCGTATACATATCTGCCTGCAGATGCTCTCGAGCAAGACGGAATCGCCCACGTTCCGCTCTACAATAGGCAGAGATCGATTATTGCCATTGCCACGAGACAAAGGTCTGCTACGGAGTGTTTAATATTCGGACTGCAAGTCATCGTGCTATGTTTCAAGAAATACCAACAGAGGCCGATCTGTTATTAGTCTGTCTGTAAAGTATAGCGATGACTGCCAAAACCTCGAAGAGTAGTTTTCACTTTCATAGACGTTTTGACAGATTTTGAATAAGTCATATTGACCCAACTGTGAAAAACTCGGCACCTCGGTGGGATTCGAACCCACGCAGTAAGGGGAAGGCTTTAGTACGACCAACGCTCTAACCACTTGAGCTACAAGGCCCCACAGGACGATGCGAATTTAATCACATTTGGGTCAAGTCACTCGCCCAACCTACTGCAACGTCTAGAATCCACCAAATCAGATACAGTACGTTGACTGCCCAGGCAGGATTTCCTTAGTACTTCACCTAGAATCCACCAGATGACTACTAGGCTTACGTAATTCAAAATCTGCCATCTTGTGGATTCTAGGTGAATTACTTAGGAAATCCTGCCTGGGTAGTCAACTTACTGTATCAGATTTGGTGGATTCCAGACGTTGCAGTAGGTTGGGCGGCTAACTTGACCCAAACGTGATTAAACTCACTTTGTCCGGCGGGGCCTCGTAGCTCAAGTGGTTAGAGCTTTGGCTGTACTAAAGCCTCTCCCTTACTGTGTGGGTTCCAATCCCACCAAGGCGCCGAGTTTTTTTACAATTTGGTCAATATGAGTTTTCACTTTCTCAGAGGCCGAACTTCAGTCTCTTCCCCACACCCATCGTATTGCCAACGGGAAGTGGGCCTGGTCACGGTGACTGGTTCTGCTCAAAGCCTCCTTCCCTGGCTTGCTACAGTATTCCTGCTCTGCCCCAATAACTACGGCAGTACCCGCGCAGAAGCTCGGGAGAGCTCGCTGAGAGCTGGCTGCCAAGCAGGGCTAGGATGCAGTGGCCAATTCTCCCGTATTCGGTATCCGTGGCTGGCGGAGTGAATGGGTTGAACACTCCAGCTCTGCCTCCCACACTGATCGTCAGGCGCGTTGGGACATAATTCGCGACATCGTTGAGGCCGGGTAGACCAGGCCTGATCACAACTGTACTACGTACGAGTACACTTAAGGACCAGTTAGAGTTTGACTTCAAAGTGGATTGTAAAAACCAGCCAACTACCAGCATATGGCTCCACGCTTTTTCTTCTGTGCTGCGTTTGTTTCCTGTAGAGAACCATGAAACCACTGGGGTAGAACTGTCTCTCACTTTTAATCATTCTGGACACAGTAGGCCGGAGTCCACAGGTTTTTCTCCACTAACGGCCTAGGCCCTCGCCTGAGATGCGACCGAAAAGACAAATTTGGAGAATGGGACGCCAACACTACTGATTGAATACTTCCGGGGGTAGAATACCGTCTGAGTCTGTGGGCCACACTTCACATGAATATAGGACTGCATTGACAGGACTTCTGACTGATCTCATGCCGGTTTCGGTGTTTCCGACGGAGGTGGCAGGCCTTTGCGTCTGGTTGAGTCGATGGTGGACTTCGTCTTTACCTTGCCTCGTTTCGTAGAAAGTGCGACCTGGGGTTGCAGAAGTAGCCCATCAACTCAAAAGCCTCACTGTGTACTGTGACCAGGCAGATATATTCAATTATGAACCCCCAGGTATTTGTCTCTGTCCGAGTGGAATTTTTTTATGGCTTTCTTCGCCTCCCTTGGCAAACTCATCAGCACTACGACCCACTGCAACATCAAGTTTGCCTGCCAGTGCGTGAAAATGAAGCTATTCTATCGGCTGCAGTAACCAAGAGTCCCAAAGCTCGTAGGCAGTAAACCCCCCAGAAGAGGTGTCGGGCATACGTTTCTATTTTCCATGACCCCACTGATCCCGAGTAATCAATGTGTAACTCAGCGAATAAGTTGGCAGTTCGTCTGCAGGATTGGATTGCCGCAAAACCCAGGTTTGTCTGTGACTTTCATCCAATCTACTTGTAGCAGGCGCCAGCATGAAGGTAACTGTCATACAGTCGGTGATCTAACCCGCGAAATATGCCTAACTTGGCGAAGGATCAATAAATAATCCGAAATCAGCCCGAACGTATCCACCAAAACACCAAGGTATTAATGAACGACCTCCGGCCAAACATAAGCGCAAAATAAGTATTCCACCTATTGTTTTGTTCATTAGAAATAACAATTGTCTCGATAATCCGTGACAAGTTTTAAAAGAGCATAATGCTTGTTCGTCTAAATAATTGACTAGATGATACGGCGTGAGCACAGTAACGTTTAAAGAATAATTGCTTACCACGTCAGAATTGACGGACTCCAGACGTTGCATTTGGTTGGGCGGCTAACTTGACCCAAATGGGATTAAAACTCGCGTCGTCCGGCGGGGCCTCGTAGCTCAAGTGGTTAGAGCGTTGACTGTACAAAAGCCAGCCCTTTACCGCGTGGGCTCGAATCCTGCCGAAACCACCGAAGTCTTTAGAATTAGGTCAAATAAATATAAAAATATAATGTTTGCATAAATTTTTATTAAATATCCCCTAAGAATTGGTTTTGTATGCAGTCTGGCACAAAGTCAAGTGCGTATTGTTTGATCATGTGTTTACTATCTTGCTGAGCGAATTCGATGTAAATTTTCCGTTTTTGTATTGTTTGAGATACGGTTGACTAAGACAAAGAGCACTTTGCTTGATTTCGATGATAGAGACGTCACTAGAATTGAAGTTTTCATAAGGTCACATGTTGACAAGCCGGTCACGGACTAAAAAATTGAATGTAATCGGCGTATGCAATCGCGAGCATACCATCTTCATTCTTCCGTAAAATCAAAGTTTCCTTTTTAGAGACGACGAGTTCCCTAAAGCATCGTTTAACACTCCGGAGTTTTCAGTGTTCTCAATCGACTGACTAAGATTATAGGTTCTGTACCCTGTGTATATTAAAACTCTCAGAATAAGACATTTTTGGAAACATTTACCGAGGTAATGAGCTCTTGCGTAGTATTCCTTTTGACGCAGAGGGCCGTCTGGGTCACACTTGAAAACTTGCTCAATTATGAAATTCCATTGCTGAGATAAATAAATGCCCACAACGAAAGTTAGCGACGCATATGCTCTCGGTCAATTAAAAAGATCGTCTCCGACAAGTTACCGCTCTGAAAAGATCTTTGATACCGTATTTAGCTGACGAATGTTCACGTGTCATTGTTATTTCCAAGGTAAAGTCAGGAAAACATTAGAACTGTTGTCGGGCTTTTCCATTTCACTTAAAAGTGCTGATGATATTTCCACTGCGGGCGAAGATGCTCACTTTACTCGCTGCATTGAAGCCATTTTCGCTATCTTGGGCTAATTTTACACCCCGATCTACGATTATGAATGCACAGAAGAGGGACCATATGAATAGTAGCATATTGCTCAAATTGCCAGTGCTTTGCCCTTCCCGTTTCTATATTACGTATTAGCAGAAACTAAGTTGCATCAAAATGTCTTATCACATGTTTAAGAGCCCAGATGATCGATTGATAATGGGCCCATTCACGGTCGCTTATATGGTGAATTCTCAAGTGGCAGCGCAGTATCAGTGCGTTTGAACAAAAAATTTCCCGTAGGCGTTATTGCTGCATGAAGTCACACAGGTTTACATATCCGCCTTTTAAAAATCGATGAAGCGTTTGGTTATCTTAGAACGTCCTGTCTATTTAAATCCTTCTTTATGTGACTTACGCAGAACAAAAAAGAACAATTTTTCACCGCGGCACGCTTTTGTTCAGTAAAACTCCCTAGGTTGAAGTAATCTATCCTAGGGAAAAAACAGGGCCATATGCGCAAACCAAGTCAAGAACAGCTATTAGCATAGGAATTTACACGAAAATATATGAGGTAGATTTTGACTCGAACTTAGACGCACACTCTGCAAAAACAGTGGCGTTGGCAGATAAGAAGAATGTGAAGTTTTTTGGGCTCCTTAGGATGTTTATCTCAGTTTCCGTCATCACATTTCGTGAGTGATTTCATCTATTGTACATGCGTATACGTATATAGCCGTCGTCAGCCAGTCATGCCCAAGCCCGAAGTGTGGAACACCCGAGCCTCGAACTCGCGACCTGGCCATATATATATATATATATATATGAATTGAGAGACGGTTATCCCAAGAGATTTAATTGGGAAGAGGAAATTCTTTGAGAGACTGGAACTTTATTGTGCAAATTTTTGAGGCCGGTCCCCAAAGGTCGTCCTCAGACAATGGGCGTATATTTATATAGTGATTGATTTATCATGATTCCAGACGGCCTCCTGCTTCGCCGAAGGGTTCAGTTCATCACTGGCTCACTCAGCGTTTCCACTCGCTTTTTGCTTTCTGTAATAGGTGACAGCAGCAGCAATAGCAGTAGAACTCCAACCGACCAAATATGTGTCTTTTACTGTGCCTGTGAGTGCAGTAAGGCCCTTTCCTTACCTCAGCCTTTTCATGGCGGCCTTACGTCTTCGTTTAACTAGCTACCAACTTAGTCGGTGAATACTCAAGGTGGTAGCCGTCCTTAGGTCATCAGCGCAACATGACTTAACTTTCCGAGGACAACAAGACTGACAATCAGTGTGAATAGACATGTTCACGGAATGTGCGACATGAATGCCCTCGTGCCATTTAGCTCGCTTAATGTCTCTAACGCAATCAGAATTGGTCTGCGAATTCTGTTTCTTCTTCATCTCGCATGACTAGTGTCACAGATTGGACTTCTAGACAGCTACTTTGTATTGTATTACTCCCGCAGAAAGCATAGGTTGATGGCAAGCACATCCCCCTCAGTAAGGCAGGACCGTATACTGAGCAACTTAAAATATTCTAACTTGCACCTGAAAAATTCCTTCAATTTAGTTGTTTTCTTTGATTTTGCATGCATACAGCCCATACTTTTCTTTCACTTGTAGGTCATATCAAAGTCTTGTAAAATTATTCCGGTCATGGCTATCGGTTTCCTGCTTCACCGCAAGTCTTACTCTCTTACCGAATACGTGACTGCCGGTAAGCAGTTACACACTTTTTGTAACTTCTTATAAACATGCATATATTTTCATTTAGAGAGAAAGTAAACTGCTCCAATATAGACATCTGTCTCATGGTTGCTGTCGGTCGTTAGTATGCTAGTGTACTTCTTGGGTCCCGGCACTTTTAAAGTTAATATCTTTGGCTCCTGACTTTGGAAGGGGTAATGGTTGTGTATCTTACTCGACGTCAATATGTTGTGCTTTTTTCCCTCACGCAGACTTTACTGTCTGCATTGGGACCGAATCTCGTGTCCTAATTAACACTAGTCTGGATTTGGGACCCCTCCACCACCTCTCTGCGGTGACAGCCCCCTCCCTTTGCGATTACGGTTGGAAGTCCTAGTCAAATGCTAGATTATGACGTTGATTCC